TCTACAGCCAGCTATATGATTTTTAATAGCCTTCTTTAGTCGGCTATAAGAACTCGAATGGTATTTTGAAACGCAGCTCCTGTCGCCAATTTTTACCGGGGTTTTTTCCCGTGAACTTGTAGAATGCACGGCTTTTGTCATAATGCAGTCAGGCGAATGTCGGAATTGGTTTCCTCTCACGCCTTTACTTCAAGGTTCTTTCTACGTCCTTCCGAAGAGTACAGACGGTGTTGATCATTAAAATTGCTTCCGTGACTTCATTTTCTCTTTTTCCATGAAGATCGGGTCAATCGTGCATAAGCGCTGGAATTAAGTCGATTGAAACTTACGGGAACCTATCATCGATCCGTGACACATAGAGTCACTAAAAAATCTTTCAAAACGGCAGGCATTTTTCGCCAAAATCGGCCTTCAGACCCATGGGTAGGCCAGTACTAGACCTAAGAGCAGGCCAAAAATGACCAAAATCAGCCAAAAATAGTAGAGTTGAGGAAATTTAGTCATGAGGTGGGCCCAGAAAAGCGCTCATTGATACTCTCAGTGGCGTGGCGTGCTTTGCGATCTATTGATATTTCCCCATTTGAAGCTGTGGTAAATAATCGATTATTTAAGTGTTCGCTGCGAACACCCTGGTTATCGATACTTTTCCATAGGTTTAAATGGCGGATCAATCTATATATCGCAAAGCACGCCACGCCACTGATGCTCCTCCTTTTTCAAGGGGGTCGAGAGCGCATTTACCCGTCATGGGGGTTTACTGGTAGTGCACGGCTGTATAGGATCGGGAATTTTCTGGAGGAAGGGGCACTAGCCTTCTGGGGGGAGGGGGTAGCCCCCCTCCCACGCGGTGCTCCCTCGCTACGCCCATGGTGAATGGTCGGCTACAATTTGTTAAATGAAAGTGAAGCAGACTCATGGTGAGATGGAGGGTACAGTGTGAAGGTTTGAGTTTTTTGACAGAAAAAAGGGTGGAAAAAATGATTATAGTTTCGTAGCTTTTTGGTACTAGAGATTGTTATTCGACAAATGAGAATGGTTGGATTATAGAGTTCTGTGTCTGTGCGTCGCAAATAAAAAAAAAACCATTCATTCTAACAGGTTCGTCTGGGCGAAAAAACAACTGGGCTTTTAGAAGAATTGGTTTTTTTTTTTCATTTTTCTAATTTCTTTGAAGTGAAAAAGTGACAATATCGCCGATTTTTGTTTTGTTTAAAGCACTCAGTAAACCCTATCAATTATTCATCATCACTCATATGTTGTATTTTTCAAATTTAAAAAATTAAAAATACTGTCGTCCACCCTTTCCTGTCAGAATTGCTTTAAGCACTCGTTTACGTATGCATACAATGGATAGAAATCTATAATTGAAATCGTTACAAGTACTTTTTTGGGCTGTCTGAAAAACTTTCTGATGTTTTCACGACATTTTATGAAGGAGTTGCTGCATTTGGACCCTGTAAAAATTCCTTGTCTCTGCCCCAATTAGGTAACTCCCTATTCTAATTTCTTTGTACAATAGGTGAATAATAATAATAAAAAAGAAGAAGAAAAAAAATACGTTACTTTACTAGGTGGTAAAATGGGCAGTAACTTATGTTATTCTAGAAGTATCATTCTCACAAGGAGCGTAGAAGCCGACGTTGAGGCCCACATTTCGTGTGGTTGAATCTGCATTATTTCTTGAAATTATTTAAAACTCGGGGGCGGGGGGTGGGTTGGGAGGGGGGTGGCGAGGTGAGGGTGATAGGGTCACGAGAGAGGGGGAGGTGGTGGCGCGTGAACGTGACGTCAAGAGGCGACGACGTAGGCGGCCGTGTCACTGTCAGCGTGGCTGTCAAAGTTTCTTTGAAAAAGATAAATTCCTTACAGCAGTGGCTCGCTGGAATTGGTAGGTTTTTGGGTCGATTTAAAGGTCTGCGTGAAATGTTAATTTTCCTCAATTTCATTTTTTTAATTTCAGGTCACCTACCTCAATTATAATGGGACGCGATCAAATTCTCTGAAAAAAATAGGGAAATGCTAAATAAAACTAAAATGTCATGTTTTTTCTCATAGAGGAATTCTTAATTATTTTAGCTAGAGAATTTTTTTCATACAGATAGCTATACGTCACAGGCAAATATAACTCAGGTATTTTATCAAATATCCAGGCAAATAGTCATGCAAATATTCTTACATTGAAATTTTGATTCTTTTTGCTAATTTTAGACAAAATAATTTACTGTTCACGTAAAAAAAGATCTGTATCTCGTTGCCTCAAGAGTAATTTTTTAGGTACTCTCAGCAAAAAAAATCGAGATACAATTTCAAAGATGAAAAATATGCGACCCACTTAGGTAGGAAAATCCCTCTGATTTTCTGGAGACGCGCACTCTCGCGCATCGAGTTAGAGGCATGAGCGATGCCAAGTCCTCGCAAGGACGCGTTCACTTGAGGTTTTCGGCAGAAAAGAGATGCAGGGTTTTCGATGGATCATCAACAGCGCTAAGCAGCGGATTAGCAGGGCGGTTACGTCAACGTGACGTGTCGCGTGACGTCGCGGGAATCAAAGGTCAACCGTGGGGTTTGAATGTTAAGCAGAAGGACGCGGAATCCCCGGAACAGCGACGCGGGCACGCTGACCGCCGCCGGAAATTCTGTCCTTGCCTCCCTTTGAAAATTCCCAGGCCGGTCTCGTCTTCTTAACTTTATCGTCTTTTTCAGGCAGGAGAACACTGCCGTCCTAAGGGAAAACGTCGTATGTACGTCGAAGGCAAATATGGCGTAGGTCTCTATCCTTTAATACGTAAAAAGAAAATGGCATAACGCTATCCTCGATCCTCCCCCCTCCCCTAGAGCGTGACGTAATTTATGGACGGCCCCAAATGACACCAAAGATTTTCAAAAGAAGCAAAGCTAAGTACGCTGATTTTCGAACGACAGGATGCAACTATTCCTACTCGATGGATGTCCGTGTTGCATACGCAAATTATTGAAGGCGCACTATTTTTCCTAACGAGAAGTATCAACCAGACGTGATGCGTGCAACTCTTCCTGCTGTGACAGCGAAAAAAGCAGTGCGTAGAAGGCACAATTTTTTTTCTTCTTCTTCTTCTTCCTCTTCTTCTTTCTCTCTCTCTCTCCCTCCCTCCC